CAACAGGTGGCATCAATGCCATCCGGCTCATTATGTGCCACCAACCAAGCATGAGCGTCAAGCTTTCATGCAACAGGTGGCATCAGTGCCATACGGCTCATCATGTGCCACCAACCAAGCATGAGCATCATGCTCTCATGCAACAGGTGGCATCAGCACCATTCGGCTCATCATGTGCCATCAACCAAGCATGAGCATCATGCTCTCATGCAACAGGTGGCATCAGTGCCATACGGCTCATCATGTGCCACCAACCAAGCATGAGCATCAAGCTCAACCACCCAAGGGGACTCAGCCTCAGCCTCTTACATGCTTTCCCTTCCACTCACCCACCCCAGGGGTTTCAGGCCCCTTTCCCTCCCCGGACCCACCTGCCAGCTGTAGGAGCAGCAGACAGCCCACCTCCTCATGGAAACAGCAAACCCAGGGGCTGTGCCTTGTGTGGAGAGGTGTGGAAGTGGAAAATTGCTTCCAGCCCAAGACTCAAATCCCACCCCTGACGTAGCTAGAGCTGACGCGAACCAGAGCCGCCGGCCGGTCGGCTCTGACGGTGTCCATTAAGCCTTGAACGCCAGATCGGGAACCTGAGCACCGAGTGCCGTGCCGCGGAGTTTCCACCCACCCCGCCTCACCCACAAGCCACAAGCCTAGAAGGTTCTGCCCCCCCAAAGGCAGTGAGCTCCCAGCTTGCTCCCACGCTCCCCACCCACCCGACCACCCCACACTTCACCCCCATGCCTCCTTACCTGTACCTACCAGAGCCATGCAGAGCGCCATGATGCAGGCTGCTGGGAAGGAGGGAGAGGAGGGGACGGGGGGTTTTTAGGAGGGCGGGACTCCAGTGTGGTCCTGGAAGGGTGCTGCTGGGAGGGAAGGGAAAAGGGAGAGAGGAGGAGGTGAGTGAGAGGGTGGACTCCACTCCACTGCCCTTGCTCCAGTGCTCCCACTCTCAGCCTGCAGGAGAGAGGGGGGCGAGAGAGAGGAGGGGATCAGATAACTACACCTCACCTTTTCAAATACCCTACCTGTTACCATACCTCACCTCTTACCGTACCTCACCTAGCCTAGCCCGCCCTCTAGCCCCCCAGCCCCCACTGGTGCTACTGCTGCTGCCGCTGCCGCTTCTGCTGCTGCCACTGCTGCTGTCGGTCTGCTTCTCTGCTTCCTGCTTCTCTGCTTCCTCTGCTGCAATCTTCTCTTGATGACCTGGTAGCAGGCAGGAAAGGGGAAGGGGGGGACAGGAGAGGAGGGACAGGATGGCTGGTGAGTTGGCATGTACAGAAATGCTAAAGTGAACATAAAAAAACACTCTTGAACTCGAGGGAGCATCGAAAAAAACCAAGTAGCAGCACGAGAGAAGAAACGAAAAAAGCTTAGATAGGGACGGGAAAGGAGGCTCACCCGTTCGGCCGACCCAATCCCGATACTCTCCCATCCCATCCCAGCCGAGTGGAGTGCTGCCCCCCTCCCCTCCCACCACTGCCACCTGCACGGCCACAAGGGGAGGAGCGCGAGGGAGTGGCGCTGTTGACCCCACGCCCCTCCCCTCCACCTGCAAAGAGCACGCACAGCAGCAGTGAGTGTACTGTGCAGGGACTTCAAAAGAATCGACTAGGCAAAGAAACTGCAAGAAGAGAAAAGGTAGGCGCCAATGGAGGAGACACATCCACAAGCCGCAGACCCGTTAGTGAACCTGAAGGGGGCTGTAAGGCTTTACAAGGGCTAAACCTGTACCTGAGGGGTTACCAGCTGTAGGGGTAGGAGGGACTGTGGCTTGCGAGGCGGGCCCAACCAGTGGCGAGATTTCAGAGGGGGAAGCATTAAAAATGCATGAGAAGGCACGAAAGGCAACAGCTAGGAGGAGGAATACTTAGCTGGAAAGATGAAGCCCTGCTGCTGCCCCTTCTCCCCTCCTCCTGCCCTCCCTCCTCCTGCCCTCCCTCCTCCTGCCCTCCCTCCTCCTGCCCAACTGCTGCCCCCTTGGCGCCTTGCTACAGTGAGGGAGAAGGGAGAGGGAGGGAGGCAGGGAGCAAGGGACAGCAGTGAGAGTGGGGAGAAGAGCAGAAAGAAACGTGAAGGCAAGGAGGAAGCCAGGAAAAAAAAGTGCGCAAGCATCTCTGGCAGGGAGGGGAAAGTGGGCTCACCGTGTTTGGCCTACCCAGTCCCGATACTCGCCCATCTCTTCTCAGCCGAGTGACGTGCTGCCCCCCTCCCCTCCCGCCACTGCCACCTGCACGGCCACAAGGGGAGGAGCGCGAGGGAGTGGCGGTGTTGACCCCCACGCCCCTCCCCTCCACCTGCAATGCACACACACACCAGCAGTGAGTGTACTGTGTGGGGAATAAAAGCAAATCGATTCGTGAAGTGTGAAGCGAGGGAAGGGAAGGCCAACTGGTGCAGCATCAGCTCCAAGCCACAGACGCAAGGGGGGTTACACACCTAGAAAGGATTGACCTGAGAGTATACCTGCTGTACCTGGGGGGTTTACCAAAGAAAAAGCGTCTGTGGCATGAAACTTTGGCTCAACCAGAGGCGATATTTCAGAGGGAAAAGCATGAAAAATGCATGACATTCAAAAGAAGGCACGAAAGGCCAACACCTAGGAGGAGAAATACTTAGCTGGAAAGTTGAAGCCTTGTTGCTGCCCTTTCTCCTCTCCTCCGGCTGCCCCATCCCCTCTGTCGCCCCCCTCTGCTGCCCTCCCTCCCTCCTGCCACCTTCCCTCCTCCTGCCCCCTAGCCTCCCTGCTACAGCCTTCAATGCACTGGGTGTAGGGAGGAGAGGGGGAGGGAGGCAGAGAGCAAGAAACAGCAGTGAGAATGGGGAGAAGACGAAGCAGCAGCATGAGTGAAGGAAAGAGAAGACACGAAAGCAGCTTTGGCAGGGAGGGAAAAGAGGCTCACCTAGTTCGGCCAACCCATCCCGATACTCTCCCATCCCAGTCGAGTGGAGTGCTGCCCCCCTCCCCTCCCACCACTGCCACCTGCACGGCCACAAGGGGAGGAGCGCGAGGGAGTGGCGGTGTTGACCCCACGCCCCTCCCCTCCACGTGCAAGGCACACACACAGCAGCAATGAGTGTACTGTGTGGGGACTAAAAGCGAATCGATTCATGAAGTGTGAAGCGAGGGAAGGGAAGGCCAACTGGTGCAGCATCATCTCCAAGCCACAGACGCAAGGGGGGTTACACACCTAGAAAGGATTGACCTGAGAGTATACCTGCTGTACCTGGGGGGTTGACCAAAGAAAAAAGCGTCTGTGGCATGAAACTTTGGCTCAACCAGAGGCGATATTTCAGAGGGAAAAGCATGAAAAATGCATGACATTCAAAAGAAGGCACGAAAGGTCAACACCTAGGAGGAGAAATACTTAGCTGGAAAGTTGAAGCCTTGTTGCTGCCCTTTCTCCTCTCCTCCGGCTGCCCCATCCCCTCTGTCGCCCCCCTCTGCTGCCCTCCCTCCCTCCTGCCACCTTCCCTCCTCCTGCCCCCTAGCCTCCCTGCTACAGCCTTCAATGCACTGGGTGTAGGGAGGAGAGGGGGAGGGAGGCAGAGAGCAAGAAACAGCAGTGAGAATGGGGAGAAGACGAAGCAGCAGCATGAGTGAAGGAAAGAGAAGACACGAAAGCAGCTTTGGCAGGGAGGGAAAAGAGGCTCACCTCGTTCGGCCAACCCATCCCGATACTCTCCCATCCCAGTCGAGTGGAGTGCTGCCCCCCTCCCCTCCCACCACTGCCACCTGCACGGCCACAAGGGGAGGAGCGTGAGGGAGTGGCGGTGTTGACCCCCACGCCCCTCCCCTCCACCTGCAATGCACACACACACCAGCAGTGAGTGTACTGTGCGGGAACCAAAGGGGATTCGACTAGGCAACGAAAGAGTGAAGCGAGAAAGGGAGGGGCAACTGGTGCAACCTCAGCTACAAGCCACAGACGCAAGGAGGGTTATTCACCTAGGGAGGCTTGACCTGAGAGTATACCTGCTATACCTGGAGGGGCTTACGGTTTACCCAAGGAAAAGGCGTCTGTGGCATGAAGCTTTGGCCCAACCAGAGGCTTGCGTATGAAGACAAATGGAGGAGGAGATGCATCAACGTGGAGAACAAATGAACGCACGAGACGATGACAGGAGAGAGAGGGTTACGGAAAGAGGGACAGGGCGGGGTACTTAGCTTAGCTGTGGGTGGATTGGGTGGAGAGCAGCTGCTGCCTGTGCACTCCATGTCCCCCGCCACTGCCACTCCCGTGTGAGCGACCTGCTGGGACGAGAGGAGGAAGATTAGGACAGAAAGAAGGGAGGAGGGGGGGGGGGGGGGGAGGAGGGGAAGCAGAGGCGTGGGGAGGACAGTGAGGTAAGAAGCAAAGCAAGTGAGTGAAGCGAGAGCGAAGAGAGAAGAAATTGCAAGAATTAAGCGTGCACGAATGGACTGCTGCAATGGCACACCCAAGAGACCTCATACCAGCTGAACCTGACTAAACCGAATTCCTGAGCCTGTACCTGCTACCATGCTACCTTGGGGGAGGGAGGTCTCTTGAGTGTGACAGAGGGCAGTGAGGGAGGGAGATTGTCATGATGCATGCGAGGTGAGTGAGGTGAGGACTTAGCTTGGGGTGGGAGACGCAGAGAGCCGCTGTGTGTGGGCCCGAAATCGCAGGTGGCGAGAGTGTTTCAGGCACCCACCAGCGTGTCACTCGTCCAGGGGGGTGGGAACGGCGTGGCGTGCGGCGGCCTGCAGTGGGTGGAAAGACCACGCGCACATCGTGCGTCAGGGAAGTAGCTCGCGAAATGGACTGTGCTACGAAATCGATATGCGAAATCAGATCGCGGAATTGAAATTTAAAATCTATTCGCGGAATCGGAATGGGAAACTGAAACGCGAAATCGATCGGTGAATACGTTCCCAACGAGTGAAACGCAAAACGGAGAAGCGAAATTGAGAAGTGAGACATACGGAATCGATTTGCGGATTTGACTCTCTGCATGGGTGTGGCTTCCACAAATACCTGAGCCAATCGGAACTCGCACGACCTTGCTGAAATCGCACGTACTCGCCGAAATTGCACGTACTCGCCGAAATCGCAACGTTCTCGCCGAAATTGCACATACTCAGCCGAAATCGCACGGACAGCCAGATAGCGATGGTGGTTCTCGTGACCTGCAACATGCAGTCGTCACGTCAGATACGCCACTGAAAAGTCTCGCGTGTGCTATTACGAAACCATATTACACCACCAAATAAGACTCGAATACGTGAAAAACTAGCACACGCACTCAAATTTACCTCATATAGAAAATCGTCATCCCGCACTTGTTCTTCCATGGTCATCGCAAAAATCGCCAGCGTTTCGACGCTTCATGACGCCAACACTCGATTCTCTCTTCGAGTAAACGCAGCTTCCACAATAAAGGCGGACCTGAAGCATAACGCCTCCATATATTATTCGGAATAAGCTTCGCTAGTGACTCATCGTTTCGCAGTCGCAGCAGCTCTAAGAAAACGAGCGGAAGAAGCTAAACGTGAGAAAATGAGAGCAAGAGGAGAAAGCGCTGTGAAATCCGAGGCTCAGGCGAGAATGAGGCGAGAGACGACGGTCACATTGGAATGAGGCGGAGGGGTCACCAACTGCCTCTCCTCCTTTCCTCACAAACAACCCTCTTCAGATCTACCGTCCAAAATCACCGATTTGTCTGAAACGTGCTGCTAACTCAGATCGCAGCCGTCGGTTCGGACCTTTTCCCGTGTTTCGTCACGGCAACCCTAGCCATTTCCTCATTGGCAACCCGGCTGCGGTGGGTCGCAACGAACAGCGACGACGGATGCGAATGGTTCACTTGTCGGTGATTCGGCAGGGGAACTGATCTTCCTGACGCCACTGATCTGAGAAGATCCGAATGCCAACACAATTTTCCAAATAAATGGAACTGCTTCGCGGCTGGTACACCAACAATGGATACAATAAAGGATCACAGCATTGAGAAAAGCAATGTCTACTTTCCCATATTTATTTGCTATGGGATATTATTCGCAACCCTTCAAAGCAGCATGCGTGAATGTGACTACTTGTTGTCAGAAAATAATACTACTTGGTAGGGGGTACATACTATGGTAGGTAGTGCATTAACCAGCCTGGTGGTGAGTGGATTTAGGCATGGTTTCTGGGACAGCCGGATGCCAGTGAACAAGCTCTGCAGCGGAAATTGGCTTGTAATTGCTCCGTTTGCAACATACATAGCTCTTGAAGGACAAAGAAACAAAAATATTCCAATTCACTGAAGAGTTTTTTTTATCAGTCTTGGCGAACTTTGAAGGGTGGCAGGTATGATGTGATGATCGCAAAAACCATGAATAGTACCCACTGTATTAAGAACCACCCACAACATGGAAAACACCAGAGCACCAGGGAAAGCACCGAGTGGATTTGCTCAGTGCAGCCAGCCCAGCAGAGAAAAAGACATGGCAATGTGGTACGCAGAAAGCAAGCAAGGATATTGATTGCGAAGGGGCCGGACAAAAAAACCTAACAATGGATTGACAAACTGGTTCGGCAAGAAGCACAGAGCAGAAGGCGTGAAGAGTGGGAGGGGAGGGCGTGCTGGGGATGGAATTGGCACTAATTGCAGGCTTACAAGAATGGGCAGGGTGAGAATGCCCCAGACGGGCCAGAAGGCAATGGAGCACCTGCACCAAGGCACGATGGAATGCAACAAGGTGAGATCAACGCAACAAGGTAAGATCAACGCAACAAGGTGAGATCAACGCAACAAGGTGAGATCAACGCAACAAGGTGAGATCAACGCAACAAGGTGAGATCAACGCAACAAGGTGAGAACAACGCAACAAGGTGAGATCAACGCAACAAGGTGAGATCAATGCAACAAGGTGAGATCAACGCAACAAGGTGAGATCAACGCAACAAGGTGAGATCAACGCAACAAGGTGAGATCAACGCAACAAAGTGAGATCAACGCAACAAGGCAAGGCACAATAGACTCAAACCGCTGTTCTCAACCCTCACACTTGAGCAATGGCATGGCATGCTACCAGTGAGAGTTCTCATAATAAATCTCTCCCCTTTCTGCCCTGCATGCCATGCCCCCTCCATGCTCTTCCCATGGGCCCTCACCACCAACACGACTTGGAAAGCTCTCCATTAACGGTTCCTGAGAATCAGAACTTACAACGCAGCAAAGTAGAGCACTTACAGGATGTAAGCCGCGAGTCCCACAGCCGTGGCCGCAGCCACGGCGCCTGGCGCGGACTGGTGGTAGGAGCGCGTGTCGCGGCGGAAGAGGCGCAGGAAGACCGCTGCGTAGAGGTAGATGCCGATGTTCACCGCCGCGCATGCTGCTGCTGCCTGTAGCGGCCGCCTGTCTGCCATAGAACGGGTGATGTGAGGATGTGACACAAGCAATGGGTGATTCAGGTCCGATGGGTTGGGGGAGGGAAGGTTCAGGAGGGCGGACAGTGGACAGGCTTTCGCGGTAACAAGTAGCCGAGACGACACAAAGAAATGAGATTATGGGAACAGGTATGGGGAGACTGATAATGAGAACTTAAAAAACGATCCGATGCGTAAGCGATCAGCTGATTCGGTATAGAATACACGATAGAATGTTGACCATCGGATTTAAGGATAGCTATTGAACGCGTGACAGACCATCGGATGCGCGGGTCGCGGAAGAGCACGTCTAGAAAGTGCACGGAGCCATCGCCGAGGTAGAGAACCACGCAGCCCAGCAGCAGGTAGATCGCGTTCTCTACCCATGACCGCTTCCTCCCCTTGAACTGCCGCCGCGGCTGCTGCTGCGACTGCTGCTCGTGCGAAGTCGGGAAGGCGTTTTGCGACAGCTGGCCGTCTATTTCTATCGCCCGTGACTGTCGGTTGCCGTCGCCGATTGCGCTGTAAGGTGCAGCGCGCTGCGTCGCAGAGGAAGCCATAGTGGAACGTAAGAACGAGCAAATTTGAGGGATTCAAGCTAATCGGTGAGTTGTGATGAGGCGTGAATCCCAGAAAATGGCTGAACAGCTGTTCTGCTCCAGGCTTGAGCCAAAACCAGCTCCTATCCTTGTTAATCTGTGCCTCGGTAAAAAGTGTAAAATACACATACTATGGAATACCGAGTAATTTGTAATGCAACTACTTTTCCCAGTCCAGGGCTGTTGGATTACAGCAACATCAACGGCAATCGCGAAACACGGCCAACCATCCAGCAATCCGTCCAGATTTCCAAAGCAGCACCCTCGATTGTGTCAGGCCCACCGCGCGGGCAATTCCTGCAAGCTTCTGAATCCTCTCATGCCGCCTCACCCAATTGCGCCTTACGTTATCGCGCTTTAACCCATCTCGCCTCTTTCCATCTCTCTAAGGCCCATCATTTCCACTTCCGCGTTTCCCCCTCTTCCCCTTCCCCCCCTCCCCAGCTCCTCTCACCTCTGCCCATTTCTTCCTCTCCCCACTCCCTCATCTTGCTTTCTCCACCATTGCTTACGGTGTTTCGCGGACGGAATCTCAGCACTGTGAGTCGGCCGTCTGTGCGACGGACAGATCCGATTTGGGGAGATCTGTCGCTTGCAGTCTCATCTATCGCACGATTTTGCTGCGTGGTTTCGCTTCGCCGCCCAACCTCTTTTGTTAAATCCACCGTCGAGTAGTCGCGTCGCGCGCGGAGTCAATGGGCGAGCCCGATTCATGGGAGGATATCGCGGGCCAGCAGCAGCCTCCGCCGCCAGGCGGCGCGGGAGGTTATTACAACGCGCCGCCCGGCGCTGGCGGCGGAGCGCTTAACGTGAACGCGGCGGCGTTCGCTTTTAACCCGACGGCGGGCACGTTCGTGCCTAACTACGGCGGCCAGCCTGCTCCCGGCGGTGCTCCTGGCGCGTACGGTTACAACCAAGGCGGGTACGGTTACAATCCGCAAGCGGCGTACGGTTACAACCAAGGCGGTTACGGTTACAACCAAGGCGGGTACGGCTACAACCAACAGCAGTACGGCGGTGGATATCAGCAGCAGCAGTACGGCGGGGGAGGATATCATCAGCAGCAGTATGGGGGAAGGGGGGGACGGGGAGGTGGCGGAGGGCGAGGAGGCGGAGGATACGGCGGGGGACGAGGAGGCGGCGGAGGCGTTGCCCAGCAGCAGTATGCGCAACCGGCGCAACCTCAGCAGCAGCAGCCGTCGGGGCCTGCGGTAACTAAAACCCTCGGCGGTCCCGCGTCTTCCGGCCCGGCCGTCTCGAAAACCCTCGGCGGTCCCGCGTCGTCCGGCCCGGCCGTCTCGAAAACCCTCGGCGGCCCTGCGGTCACCAAGTCCCTCGGTGGACCCTCTGTGCAGAAGGTAATGGTAACCATTTCGCTCAATTTTCTCGAGGATTGCGTCACCCAAATTTCGCGTTCGCACGGTTCTTCACGACTTCGCTGTGAACCTTATGGCGTCTCGCAGCTGCATCTGATCAGCTGTTACAACCAATCATTTTCCTTCCCACTCGTATGCGCGTTTCATTTCACGGATCCGCGCTCACAGCTAGCCCGCCGCTTTCCGCCGGCCCCTGGTTTTGCTTCCGCCTCCCCGCGTGTCTCCGCCAGGTTCTTGGGGCTCCTTCACCCGCGGCGGCCCCCGCTCCAGCAGCGGCGGAACCCGCTCCGCCCGCCGCAGCTGCTGCCCCGCCCGCGGCGGAGGAGGAGAAGCCCGCGGAAGCTGAAGCGGAAGGGAAAGTGGAGAGCGGAGCGGAAAACGTTGCGGAAAGCGACGGAGCAGGTGATTGCGAGCGATGCGATTACTGAGCGAGGCGATTACTGAACGAGTCGATTACTGAACGAGGCGATTACTGAGCGAGGCGTGGATTGGAGATACGTGCAAAGCTGCGCTTAACTGGGCTCAGCTGGGCTAGTTGGGCTAGCTGGGCTAGTTGGGGTGGTGCGGTGTGGCTGTCACTCGGTCACGTCGAGTAACGAGCACTCGCCGTCACCCTTGGGGAACCGCAGCCTCCCACATGCAATTCCTGTCTGATCCGCCATATCTGTCTGTTCCCCCGCGCGCTCGTCCATTCTCTCGCCTTTCCTTCTACCCTCGCCCTCGCCCCTACTTTTCCCCATTCCGCCCTCTCGCGCGGCTTTCCTCCGCCGCGCCCCACTCCCCGCGCCGCACTCTTCTTTTCGTGCAGTGGACGCGGCGGCAGCAGCGGTGGCAGCGGTGGGCATTAAGGACGACGACAAGGACGAAGCGCCCCCTGCAGATGGATCAGCAGCATCCGCCAAGGTCGAAGCGGCAGCAGCCGCATCAGCGTCAGCGGCGGCAGCGGCGGCGGTAGTGGAAGAGGAGGAGGCGGAGGAGGAGTTTGAGATCCCCGAGTCGGAGGACAAGCGCCAGCACCTCAACCTCGTCTTCATCGGCCACGTCGGTGAGTGTTCGTGCGCGTCTAGTGCGTGCGCGCTCAGACCCTTCCCTCTCCAAAATTAGCTTCTCTTGCCGCCTCTACTCACACTGTACGAGCGCGCTCCTTCCGCCCTGCGCGGTCGCCCCTCCCTGCGTTCTCCCCCCCCCGCCCTCCCCCTGCGCCCCTCCCTGCGTTCTCCCCCCACCCTCACCCTGCGCCCCTCCCTGCGTTCTCCCCCCACCCTCACCCTGCGCCTCTCCCTACCCTGACAGACGCGGGGAAGTCGACGATCGGCGGGCAGATCCTGTACCTGGCGAACATGGTGGACGAGCGCACCATCCAGAAATACGAGCGCGAGGCCAAAGACAAGAACCGCGAGAGCTGGTGCGCTGGGCGCTGGGGTGAGAGGGGGAGAGTGGGGGCCGGTGCGCTGGTGCGCTGGGGTGAGGGGGTTGCTGGGGGCTGGTTACTTGTGCGCTGGGGTGAGGGGGTTGCTGGGGGCTGGTTACTTGTGCGCTGGGGTGAGGGGGTTGCTGGGGGCTGGTTACTTGTGCGCTGGGGTGAGGGGGTTGCTGGGGGCTGGTTACTTGTGCGCTGGGGTGAGGGGGTTGCTGGGGGCTGGTTACTTGTGCGCTGGGGTGAGGGGGTTGCTGGGGGCTGGTTACTTGTGCGCTGGGGTGAGGGGGTTGCTGGGGGCTGGTTACTTGTGCGCTGGGGTGAGGGGGTTGCTGGGGGCTGGTTACTTGTGCGCTGGGGTGAGGGGGTTGCTGGGGGCTGGTTACTTGTGCGCTGGGGTGAGGGGGTTGCTGGGGGCTGGTTACTTGTGCGCTGGGGTGAGGGGGTTGCTGGGGGCTGGTTACTTGTGCGCTGGGGTGAGGGGGTTGCTGGGGGCTGGTTACTTGTGCGCTGGGGTGAGGGGGTTGCTGGGGGCTGGTTACTTGTGCGCTGGGGTGAGGGGGTTGCTGGGGGCTGGTTACTTGTGCGCTGGGGTGAGGGGGTTGCTGGGGGCTGGTTACTTGTGCGCTGGGGTGAGGGGGTTGCTGGGGGCTGGTTACTTGTGCGCTGGGGTGAGGGGGTTGCTGGGGGCTGGTTACTTGTGCGCTGGGGTGAGGGGGTTGCTGGGGGCTGGTTACTTGTGCGCTGGGGTGAGGGGGTTGCTGGGGGCTGGTTACTTGTGCGCTGGGGTGAGGGGGTTGCTGGGGGCTGGTTACTTGTGCGCTGGGGTGAGGGGGTTGCTGGGGGCTGGTTACTTGTGCGCTGGGGTGAGGGGGTTGCTGGGGGCTGGTTACTTGTGCGCTGGGGTGAGGGGGTTGCTGGGGGCTGGTTACTTGTGCGCTGGGGTGAGGGGGTTGCTGGGGGCTGGTTACTTGTGCGCTGGGGTGAGGGGGTTGCTGGGGGCTGGTTACTTGTGCGCTGGGGTGAGGGGGTTGCTGGGGGCTGGTTACTTGTGCGCTGGGGTGAGGGGGTTGCTGGGGGCTGGTTACTTGTGCGCTGGGGTGAGGGGGTTGCTGGGGGCTGGTTACTTGTGCGCTGGGGTGAGGGGGTTGCTGGGGGCTGGTTACTTGTGCGCTGGGGTGAGGGGGTTGCTGGGGGCTGGTTACTTGTGCGCTGGGGTGAGGGGGTTGCTGGGGGCTGGTTACTTGTGCGCTGGGGTGAGGGGGTTGCTGGGGGCTGGTTACTTGTGCGCTGGGGTGAGGGGGTTGCTTGGGGCTGGTTACTTGTGCGCTGGGGTGAGGGGGTTGCTGGGGGCTGGTTACTTGTGCGCTGGGGTGAGGGGGTTGCTGGGGGCTGGTTACTTGTGCGCTGGGGTGAGGGGGTTGCTGGGGGCTGGTTACTTGTGCGCTGGGGTGAGGGGGTTGCTGGGGGCTGGTTACTTGTGCGCTGGGGTGAGGGGGTTGCTGGGGGCTGGTTACTTGTGCGCTGGGGTGAGGGGGTTGCTGGGGGCTGGTTACTTGTGCGCTGGGGTGAGGGGGTTGCTGGGGGCTGGTTACTTGTGCGCTGGGGTGAGGGGGTTGCTGGGGGCTGGTTACTTGTGCGCTGGGGTGAGGGGGTTGCTGGGGGCTGGTTACTTGTGCGCTGGGGTGAGGGGGTTGCTGGGGGCTGGTTACTTGTGCGCTGGGGTGAGGGGGTTGCTGGGGGCTGGTTACTTGTGCGCTGGGGTGAGGGGGTTGCTGGGGGCTGGTTACTTGTGCGCTGGGGTGAGGGGGTTGCTGGGGGCTGGTTACTTGTGCGCTGGGGTGAGGGGGTTGCTGGGGGCTGGTTACTTGTGCGCTGGGGTGAGGGGGTTGCTGGGGGCTGGTTACTTGTGCGCTGGGGTGAGGGGGTTGCTGGGGGCTGGTTACTTGTGCGCTGGGGTGAGGGGGTTGCTGGGGGCTGGTTACTTGTGCGCTGGGGTGAGGGGGTTGCTGGGGGCTGGTTACTTGTGCGCTGGGGTGAGGGGGTTGCTGGGGGCTGGTTACTTGTGCGCTGGGGTGAGGGGGTTGCTGGGGGCTGGTTACTTGTGCGCTGGGGTGAGGGGGTTGCTGGGGGCTGGTTACTTGTGCGCTGGGGTGAGGGGGTTGCTGGGGGCTGGTTACTTGTGCGCTGGGGTGAGGGGGTTGCTGGGGGCTGGTTACTTGTGCGCTGGGGTGAGGGGGTTGCTGGGGGCTGGTTACTTGTGCGCTGGGGTGAGGGGGTTGCTGGGGGCTGGTTACTTGTGCGCTGGGGTGAGGGGGTTGCTGGGGGCTGGTTACTTGTGCGCTGGGGTGAGGGGGTTGCTGGGGGCTGGTTACTTGTGCGCTGGGGTGAGGGGGTTGCTGGGGGCTGGTTACTTGTGCGCTGGGGTGAGGGGGTTGCTGGGGGCTGGTTACTTGTGCGCTGGGGTGAGGGGGTTGCTGGGGGCTGGTTACTTGTGCGCTGGGGTGAGGGGGTTGCTGGGGGCTGGTTACTTGTGCGCTGGGGTGAGGGGGTTGCTGGGGGCTGGTTACTTGTGCGCTGGGGTGAGGGGGTTGCTGGGGGCTGGTTACTTGTGCGCTGGGGTGAGGGGGTTGCTGGGGGCTGGTTACTTGTGCGCTGGGGTGAGGGGGTTGCTGGGGGCTGGTTACTTGTGCGCTGGGGTGAGGGGGTTGCTGGGGGCTGGTTACTTGTGCGCTGGGGTGAGGGGGTTGCTGGGGGCTGGTTACTTGTGCGCTGGGGTGAGGGGGTTGCTGGGGGCTGGTTACTTGTGCGCTGGGGTGAGGGGGTTGCTGGGGGCTGGTTACTTGTGCGCTGGGGTGAGGGGGTTGCTGGGGGCTGGTTACTTGTGCGCTGGGGTGAGGGGGTTGCTGGGGCTGGTTACTTGTGCGCTGGGGTGAGGGGGTTGCTGGGGGCTGGTTACTTGTGCGCTGGGGTGAGGGGGTTGCTGGGGGCTGGTTACTTGTGCGCTGGGGTGAGGGGGTTGCTGGGGGCTGGTTACTTGTGCGCTGGGGTGAGGGGGTTGCTGGGGGCTGGTTACTTGTGCGCTGGGGTGAGGGGGTTGCTGGGGGCTGGTTACTTGTGCGCTGGGGTGAGGGGGTTGCTGGGGGCTGGTTACTTGTGCGCTGGGGTGAGGGGGTTGCTGGGGGCTGGTTACTTGTGCGCTGGGGTGAGGGGGTTGCTGGGGGCTGGTTACTTGTGCGCTGGGGTGAGGGGGTTGCTGGGGGCTGGTTACTTGTGCGCTGGGGTGAGGGGGTTGCTGGGGGCTGGTTACTTGTGCGCTGGGGTGAGGGGGTTGCTGGGGGCTGGTTACTTGTGCGCTGGGGTGAGGGGGTTGCTGGGGGCTGGTTACTTGTGCGCTGGGGTGAGGGGGTTGCTGGGGGCTGGTTACTTGTGCGCTGGGGTGAGGGGGTTGCTGGGGGCTGGTTACTTGTGCGCTGGGGTGAGGGGGTTGCTGGGGGCTGGTTACTTGTGCGCTGGGGTGAGGGGGTTGCTGGGGGCTGGTTACTTGTGCGCTGGGGTGAGGGGGTTGCTGGGGGCTGGTTACTTGTGCGCTGGGGTGAGGGGGTTGCTGGGGGCTGGTTACTTGTGCGCTGGGGTGAGGGGGTTGCTGGGGGCTGGTTACTTGTGCGCTGGGGTGAGGGGGTTGCTGGGGGCTGGTTACTTGTGCGCTGGGGTGAGGGGGTTGCTGGGGGCTGGTTACTTGTGCGCTGGGGTGAGGGGGTTGCTGGGGGCTGGTTACTTGTGCGCTGGGGTGAGGGGGTTGCTGGGGGCTGGTTACTTGTGCGCTGGGGTGAGGGGGTTGCTGGGGGCTGGTTACTTGTGCGCTGGGGTGAGGGGGTTGCTGGGGGCTGGTTACTTGTGCGCTGGGGTGAGGGGGTTGCTGGGGGCTGGTTACTTGTGCGCTGGGGTGAGGGGGTTGCTGGGGGCTGGTTACTTGTGCGCTGGGGTGAGGGGGTTGCTGGGGGCTGGTTACTTGTGCGCTGGGGTGAGGGGGTTGCTGGGGGCTGGTTACTTGTGCGCTGGGGTGAGGGGGTTGCTGGGGGCTGGTTACTTGTGCGCTGGGGTGAGGGGGTTGCTGGGGGCTGGTTACTTGTGCGCTGGGGTGAGGGGGTTGCTGGGGGCTGGTTACTTGTGCGCTGGGGTGAGGGGGTTGCTGGGGGCTGGTTACTTGTGCGCTGGGGTGAGGGGGTTGCTGGGGGCTGGTTACTTGTGCGCTGGGGTGAGGGGGTTGCTGGGGGCTGGTTACTTGTGCGCTGGGGTGAGGGGGTTGCTGGGGGCTGGTTACTTGTGCGCTGGGGTGAGGGGGTTGCTGGGGGCTGGTTACTTGTGCGCTGGGGTGAGGGGGTTGCTGGGGGCTGGTTACTTGTGCGCTGGGGTGAGGGGGTTGCTGGGGGCTGGTTACTTGTGCGCTGGGGTGAGGGGGTTGCTGGGGGCTGGTTACTTGTGCGCTGGGGTGAGGGGGTTGCTGGGGGCTGGTTACTTGTGCGCTGGGGTGAGGGGGTTGCTGGGGGCTGGTTACTTGTGCGCTGGGGTGAGGGGGTTGCTGGGGGCTGGTTACTTGTGCGCTGGGGTGAGGGGGTTGCTGGGGGCTGGTTACTTGTGCGCTGGGGTGAGGGGGTTGCTGGGGGCTGGTTACTTGTGCGCTGGGGTGAGGGGGTTGCTGGGGGCTGGTTACTTGTGCGCTGGGGTGAGGGGGTTGCTGGGGGCTGGTTACTTGTGCGCTGGGGTGAGGGGGTTGCTGGGGGCTGGTTACTTGTGCGCTGGGGTGAGGGGGTTGCTGGGGGCTGGTTACTTGTGCGCTGGGGTGAGGGGGTTGCTGGGGGCTGGTTACTTGTGCGCTGGGGTGAGGGGGTTGCTGGGGGCTGGTTACTTGTGCGCTGGGGTGAGGGGGTTGCTGGGGGCTGGTTACTTGTGCGCTGGGGTGAGGGGGTTGCTGGGGGCTGGTTACTTGTGCGCTGGGGTGAGGGGGTTGCTGGGGGCTGGTTACTTGTGCGCTGGGGTGAGGGGGTTGCTGGGGGCTGGTTACTTGTGCGCTGGGGTGAGGGGGTTGCTGGGGGCTGGTTACTTGTGCGCTGGGGTGAGGGGGTTGCTGGGGGCTGGTTACTTGTGCGCTGGGGTGAGGGGGTTGCTGGGGGCTGGTTACTTGTGCGCTGGGGTGAGGGGGTTGCTGGGGGCTGGTTACTTGTGCGCTGGGGTGAGGGGGTTGCTGGGGGCTGGTTACTTGTGCGCTGGGGTGAGGGGGTTGCTGGGGGCTGGTTACTTGTGCGCTGGGGTGAGGGGGTTGCTGGGGGCTGGTTACTTGTGCGCTGGGGTGAGGGGGTTGCTGGGGGCTGGTTACTTGTGCGCTGGGGTGAGGGGGTTGCTGGGGGCTGGTTACTTGTGCGCTGGGGTGAGGGGGTTGCTGGGGGCTGGTTACTTGTGCGCTGGGGTGAGGGGGTTGCTGGGGGCTGGTTACTTGTGCGCTGGGGTGAGGGGGTTGCTGGGGGCTGGTTACTTGTGCGCTGGGGTGAGGGGGTTGCTGGGGGCTGGTTACTTGTGCGCTGGGGTGAGGGGGTTGCTGGGGGCTGGTTACTTGTGCGCTGGGGTGAGGGGGTTGCTGGGGGCTGGTTACTTGTGCGCTGGGGTGAGGGGGTTGCTGGGGGCTGGTTACTTGTGCGCTGGGGTGAGGGGGTTGCTGGGGGCTGGTTACTTGTGCGCTGGGGTGAGGGGGTTGCTGGGGGCTGGTTACTTGTGCGCTGGGGTGAGGGGGTTGCTGGGGGCTGGTTACTTGTGCGCTGGGGTGAGGGGGTTGCTGGGGGCTGGTTACTTGTGCGCTGGGGTGAGGGGGTTGCTGGGGGCTGGTTACTTGTGCGCTGGGGTGAGGGGGTTGCTGGGGGCTGGTTACTTGTGCGCTGGGGTGAGGGGGTTGCTGGGGGCTGGTTACTTGTGCGCTGGGGTGAGGGGGTTGCTGGGGGCTGGTTACTTGTGCGCTGGGGTGAGGGGGTTGCTGGGGGCTGGTTACTTGTGCGCTGGGGTGAGGGGGTTGCTGGGGGCTGGTTACTTGTGCGCTGGGGTGAGGGGGTTGCTGGGGGCTGGTTACTTGTGCGCTGGGGTGAGGGGGTTGCTGGGGGCTGGTTACTTGTGCGCTGGGGTGAGGGGGTTGCTGGGGGCTGGTTACTTGTGCGCTGGGGTGAGGGGGTTGCTGGGGGCTGGTTACTTGTGCGCTGGGGTGAGGGGGTTGCTGGGGGCTGGTTACTTGTGCGCTGGGGTGAGGGGGTTGCTGGGGGCTGGTTACTTGTGCGCTGGGGTGAGGGGGTTGCTGGGGGCTGGTTACTTGTGCGCTGGGGTGAGGGGGTTGCTGGGGGCTGGTTACTTGTGCGCTGGGGTGAGGGGGTTGCTGGGGGCTGGTTACTTGTGCGCTGGGGTGAGGGGGTTGCTGGGGGCTGGTTACTTGTGCGCTGGGGTGAGGGGGTTGCTGGGGGCTGGTTACTTGTGCGCTGGGGTGAGGGGGTTGCTGGGGGCTGGTTACTTGTGCGCTGGGGTGAGGGGGTTGCTGGGGGCTGGTTACTTGTGCGCTGGGGTGAGGGGGTTGCTGGGGGCTGGTTACTTGTGCGCTGGGGTGAGGGGGTTGCTGGGGGCTGGTTACTTGTGCGCTGGGGTGAGGGGGTTGCTGGGGGCTGGTTACTTGTGCGCTGGGGTGAGGGGGTTGCTGGGGGCTGGTTACTTGTGCGCTGGGGTGAGGGGGTTGCTGGGGGCTGGTTACTTGTGCGCTGGGGTGAGGGGGTTGCTGGGGGCTGGTTACTTGTGCGCTGGGGTGAGGGGGTTGCTGGGGGCTGGTTACTTGTGCGCTGGGGTGAGGGGGTTGCTGGGGGCTGGTTACTTGTGCGCTGGGGTGAGGGGGTTGCTGGGGGCTGGTTACTTGTGCGCTGGGGTGAGGGGGTTGCTGGGGGCTGGTTACTTGTGCGCTGGGGTGAGGGGGTTGCTGGGGGCTGGTTACTTGTGCGCTGGGGTGAGGGGGTTGCTGGGGGCTGGTTACTTGTGCGCTGGGGTGAGGGGGTTGCTGGGGGCTGGTTACTTGTGCGCTGGGGTGAGGGGGTTGCTGGGGGCTGGTTACTTGTGCGCTGGGGTGAGGGGGTTGCTGGGGGCTGGTTACTTGTGCGCTGGGGTGAGGGGGTTGCTGGGGGCTGGTTACTTGTGCGCTGGGGTGAGGGGGTTGCTGGGGGCTGGTTACTTGTGCGCTGGGGTGAGGGGGTTGCTGGGGGCTGGTTACTTGTGCGCTGGGGTGAGGGGGTTGCTGGGGGCTGGTTACTTGTGCGCTGGGGTGAGGGGGTTGCTGGGGGCTGGTTACTTGTGCGCTGGGGTGAGGGGGTTGCTGGGGGCTGGTTACTTGTGCGCTGGGGTGAGGGGGTTGCTGGGGGCTGGTTACTTGTGCGCTGGGGTGAGGGGGTTGCTGGGGGCTGGTTACTTGTGCGCTGGGGTGAGGGGGTTGCTGGGGGCTGGTTACTTGTGCGCTGGGGTGAGGGGGTTGCTGGGGGCTGGTTACTTGTGCGCTGGGGTGAGGGGGTTGCTGGGGGCTGGTTACTTGTGCGCTGGGGTGAGGGGGTTGCTGGGGGCTGGTTACTTGTGCGCTGGGGTGAGGGGGTTGCTGGGGGCTGGTTACTTGTGCGCTGGGGTGAGGGGGTTGCTGGGGGCTGGTTACTTGTGCGCTGGGGTGAGGGGGTTGCTGGGGGCTGGTTACTTGTGCGCTGGGGTGAGGGGGTTGCTGGGGGCTGGTTACTTGTGCGCTGGGGTGAGGGGGTTGCTGGGGGCTGGTTACTTGTGCGCTGGGGTGAGGGGGTTGCTGGGGGCTGGTTACTTGTGCGCTGGGGTGAGGGGGTTGCTGGGGGCTGGTTACTTGTGCGCTGGGGTGAGGGGGTTGCTGGGGGCTGGTTACTTGTGCGCTGGGGTGAGGGGGTTGCTGGGGGCTGGTTACTTGTGCGCTGGGGTGAGGGGGTTGCTGGGGGCTGGTTACTTGTGCGCTGGGGTGAGGGGGTTGCTGGGGGCTGGTTACTTGTGCGCTGGGGTGAGGGGGTTGCTGGGGGCTGGTTACTTGTGCGCTGGGGTGAGGGGGTTGCTGGGGGCTGGTTACTTGTGCGCTGGGGTGAGGGGGTTGCTGGGGGCTGGTTACTTGTGCGCTGGGGTGAGGGGGTTGCTGGGGGCTGGTTACTTGTGCGCTGGGGTGAGGGGGTTGCTGGGGGCTGGTTACTTGTGCGCTGGGGTGAGGGGGTTGCTGGGGGCTGGTTACTTGTGCGCTGGGGTGAGGGGGTTGCTGGGGGCTGGTTACTTGTGCGCTGGGGTGAGGGGGTTGCTGGGGGCTGGTTACTTGTGCGCTGGGGTGAGGGGGTTGCTGGGGGCTGGTTACTTGTGCGCTGGGGTGAGGGGGTTGCTGGGGGCTGGTTACTTGTGCGCTGGGGTGAGGGGGTTGCTGGGGGCTGGTTACTTGTGCGCTGGGGTGAGGGGGTTGCTGGGGGCTGGTTACTTGTGCGCTGGGGTGAGGGGGTTGCTGGGGGCTGGTTACTTGTGCGCTGGGGTGAGGGGGTTGCTGGGGGCTGGTTACTTGTGCGCTGGGGTGAGGGGGTTGCTGGGGGCTGGTTACTTGTGCGCTGGGGTGAGGGGGTTGCTGGGGGCTGGTTACTTGTGCGCTGGGGTGAGGGGGTTGCTGGGGGCTGGTTACTTGTGCGCTGGGGTGAGGGGGTTGCTGGGGGCTGGTTACTTGTGCGCTGGGGTGAGGGGGTTGCTGGGGGCTGGTTACTTGTGCGCTGGGGTGAGGGGGTTGCTGGGGGCTGGTTACTTGTGCGCTGGGGTGAGGGGGTTGCTGGGGGCTGGTTACTTGTGCGCTGGGGTGAGGGGGTTGCTGGGGGCTGGTTACTTGTGCGCTGGGGTGAGGGGGTTGCTGGGGGCTGGTTACTTGTGCGCTGGGGTGAGGGGGTTGCTGGGGGCTGGTTACTTGTGCGCTGGGGTGAGGGGGTTGCTGGGGGCTGGTTACTTGTGCGCTGGGGTGAGGGGGTTGCTGGGGGCTGGTTACTTGTGCGCTGGGGTGAGGGGGTTGCTGGGGGCTGGTTACTTGTGCGCTGGGGTGAGGGGGTTGCTGGGGGCTGGTTACTTGTGCGCTGGGGTGAGGGGGTGGGGGGGCGAGGGGGAGTGGAGAGTGTGAAAGCGGTGCTGGGGGGTGGGAGGCCGAGGACAAGAAACGCGAGAGCTACTGCGCTGAGCGCTGGCAATGGGTGGCAGGATGGGGTGGGGGGTTAGAGAGGAGGAGAGAGGGAGCTTGGGTTGAGAGGGCACGAGGAGGATGAAGATAAAGGTCCATTATGATGAGATACTCGTTTCCATCCTCGTTGTGACGCCTTTTACTAAGCGTGGCGTGCGTGCTTGCGTGTGTGTGCGTTTGCGTGTACGTGTGTGGTGTGCATGTGTGTCTGTGTGCATGGTGAGCATGGCAGGTACATGGCATACATCATGGACACCAACGAGGAGGAGCGAGCCAAGGTTGGTGCTCTGGGGTGCTCTGGGGTGCCCTGGGGTGCTCTGGGGTGTGCGGGTGCGGGTCGTGAATGTGGTTGCTCTTTTCCCTTTAACCGCTGCTTGTTGAACACTAATAGCCCTGGCTCTCTCGTCTTCACACCATGGGACACGTGCCCTGCCACAAGTGTTCCACTCACAATGCGCCTCTCTTCCATGTTTCTACTCTCCAACTCTTCCTGCTGCTCTCTCGTGCTGCTCTCTCCCTGCTGCTCTCTTGTGCTGCTCTCTCCCTGCTGCTCTCTCGTGCTGCTCTCTCCCTGCTGCTCTCTCCCTGCTGCTCTCTCGTGCTGCTCTCTCCCTGCTGCTCTCTCGTGCTGCTCTCTCCCTGCTGCTCTCTCGTGCTGCTCTCTCCCCTCGCCACGGCAGGGCAAGACAGTGGAAGTCGGTCGGGCGCACTTTGAGACGGAGAAGAAGCGATACACCATCCTCGATGCCCCTGTGAGTCCCTATCCTGGATGCGCCTGTAGAGATCTTCAATAAAGCTTCGCAGAATGGTGCCGTGCCTTACTTGTGCTGTCTAGCCTTGCGCAATTTCGTCCATTTTTCAGTGACATCTCTTTCTTTTAATCTTCACTATCGTTCTCTCCCTGTCTGCCTCCTCACGTTCATTCTCTCAGGGCCACAAGAACTATGTGCCCAACATGATCAGTGGAGCATCACAGGCGGACGTGGGCGTGCTGGTGATAGCGGCGCGCAAGGGCGAGTTTGAGACGGGCTTTGAGCGCGGAGGGCAGACGCGCGAGCACGCGCAGCTCGCCAAGACGCTCGGTGTGTCCAAGCTCGTGGTGGTGGTCAACAAGATGGACGACCCGTCCGTGCAGTGGAGCCAGGAGCGGTGAGATATGGGGGCTGAAAATGGGGGACGATGGGGAGGTGCATAGGGGCAAGAGGGGGGGTGAGGTCGAATTAAGCTCATGGTGGTGGCGAACAAGATGGACGACCCGTCGGTGCAGTGGAGCCAGGAGAGGTGAAGCATGGGAGAGGGGGGGGCGATGGGGGCATATAGGGGCATTCGGGGGGTCGAGGAAGAGTGCAGCTGATGGTGATGGTGGACGACGGCCTTCTGTTCAGTGGAAGCAAGGGGAGAGAGAGGGATGGCTGCCACTCTTACCTGCCCTTCAAGGCCGTCTCGTTTTTCACTTCGCTGCCCTCCCTCCCCCTTCCCACCTGCACTCCCTCTCGTCCCCTCCACCCCCCTCCACCCCCCTCCACCCCCCTCCACCCCCCTCTCCCCCCTCTCCCTGCTCCTTCCCGCTGCTTCCTTCACCTGTTCCGTCTCCTTGCCCCCCCCGCACTGCTCTCATGGCAGGTACGACGAGATTGTCACCAAGCTCACGCCCTTCCTCAAGCAGTGCGGTTACAACACCAAGAAAGGTGCGTGGCGCCGAGAAAGGTGCGTGGCGCCGAGAAACGTACTCTTTTGTGCACATTCCCCTAAAAAATCCCTCCCTCCCTCCCGCCGGAGTTCTGGGTCGCCTTAGAATCCCTCAGTGGACACAACGGGAGGATGAAAGCAAGTGAGCCTCTTGCCTCAGCAAATGAACGGCACACACACGCATTACCTCTTGCCTGCCTTGTGAGATCCACGAGGGTGGTTTGTGAGAATCCCTTCATTCCTGCCTCTCTGCCCCCCCAACGCTCTCCTTGATCTCCCCAGACGTGCAGTACCTACCGATATCGGGCATCCAGGGCGCCAACATGAAGGAGCGGGTGAGCATGGTGCAACCTACACTGCTGATTGAGCCCCTGCATCTCTTTCTTTCCCCCCACCTTCTCTCCAAACATTCTCCCCTCCCCATGCGTGCAGACGTGCAGTACCTACCGATATCGGGCATCCAGGGTGCCAACATGAAGGAGCGGGTGAAGAAGGACGTGTGCCCGTGGTATGATGGGCCCTGCTTCTTCGAGGTCCTTGATGCTCTCGCCCCGCCCGACCGCGACCCCAAGGGGCCCGTCAGGTGCGCACCGTGTTCCTTATGAGGTATAAATCTCGTTCTTCGTCAGCAATGCCTTGGGCGAATGCGAATGCTTACCTTGTCCTTGATTCAGGTGCCCTGCTTGGCCTGTGAACCCACCCCTCCCTTCCCCCCGCTCGTCCTTTCCATAGAAATGCCCGATATAGACAAGTACCAAGACATCGCACATTGGTGATGGGGAAGGCGGTGGTCATGTGCTTTCCTCCCTCCTCCCCTCCTCCCCCTCTCTTCCGTCCTCCTCCCTTCCCCCTTCTCTTTTCCCTCCGTTCCCTGCCCATCAGAATGCCCATCATAGACAAGTACGGAGACATGGGCACAGTGGTCATGGGGAAGGTGGTGGTGACTTGGCTAGTAGGTCATATGCTTTCCCCCCTCCTCTCTTTCTCCCTTCTTCCTTGCCCCTTCCCCCCGCTTCCCCGCCCATCAGAATGCCCATCATAGACAAGTATAGAGACATGGGCACGGTGGTGATGGGCAAGGTGGAGAGTAGCTAACAGGAGATGTGCTTTTTTCCCTCCTCTCTTCCGCCCTCCTCCCGCGTCCCCTCCCCCCCATTTCCCTCTCGCTCAACCATCAGAATGCCCATCATAGACAAGTACAGAGACATGGGTACGGTGGTCATGGGCAAGGTGGAGAGCGGCTAGTGGGTCATGTGTTGTGCTTGTGCCCCTTCCTCCCCCTCTCCCCCCTCACCAGAATGCCCATCATAGACAAGTACAGAGACATGGGCACAGTGGTCATGGGGAAGGTGGAGAGTGGCTGCATCAAGCGAGGCGACACACTCACTGTCATGCCCAATAAGGTAATCTCGCCAAATACGGCAAGTCATGCCCAATAAGGTAAACCCTGCCAAATACGGCGAGTCATGACCAATATGGTAACCATGCTAAATAATGTAGATCACACCCAATAAGGCAGGCCGCACTTCAATAGTTTGGTCCTTTCCAGCTTGAACCAGATTCCGCAACAGTGAAAAATTTTGCCAGTCGTTATCACTATACCCTCTCTTGTATCTTGCTTCCCCTTATCCTTATCCTTCCCCCTTCTCCTTCCCTTTCCTCCAGGCCGTGGTGAAGAGGTGGTGAGGTGACTATCTTCTGGGACAACGACGAGGTCTTATCCTCCCCACTCGTCTTACCGTTACACCTCATTCACCTCTTATCCTCCTCCCCCTTCTCCTCCTCCCCTCCAGACCGTGGTGAAGGTGGTGACCATATTCCGCGACAACGACGAGGTGCAATTTGCCCTGCCAGGGGAGAACCTCCGGGTGCGCCTCACAGGCATCGAGGAGGAGGAGGTGTCCGCTGGCTTCGTGCTCTCCTCGCGCAGTCAGTGCCTTGCCCTTCTCTCTTCCCTTCCCCTCGTCCTTCCCTCAACCCATTGCCTTGACCCATTGAAATCACCAATTTGGCACACCCGTGGCATCTCCCTCGTCCTCCCATCAACCCACAGCCTCTCCTCACGTCTCTCTCAATCCCACCTGAAGTCCCCTCACTTCCTCCCCCTCACTTCCTCCCCCTCATGCACGCAGCCGTGCGAGTGATATCTCACCAACCTCCCCTCCTCTTCTGCTCTCCCTGCGCGCATCCCTCCAGAGCGTCCCATTGGAGTGTGCACAGAGTTCGACGCTCAGCTGCAGGTAACCCCGCTATTTTTACTTGGTTCTATATACCTTGCACTAGGTCACTTTCTTATCACTTTTATGCACCCCTTTGTTTGTAATATTTCTCTCTCCTCCATTTCATTGGACCCCCTCTTGGGGCCCCTTCAACCCCCTCCCTCTCCCCTCTTCTCCCTCTCCCCTCTTCTCCCTTTTCCCTCTTCTCCCTCTCCCCCGTCTCCCTCTCAACCCCTCCCCCTCCCCCCCTCCCCTCCCTCCCCTCCCTCCCCCCCCCTCTCACCCTCCCTTCCGGGCAGATTCTGGAGCTGCTTGATCACAAGGCGATCTTCACAGCGGGGTACAAAGCGGTGCTGCATGTGCACAGCGTGGTGGAGGAGTGTGAGATCATCAGCCTTCTGCAGCAGACGGACCTCAAGACCAAGAAGCCCATGAAGAAGAAACCGCTATTCGTCAAGAGCGGTGCTATTGTGGTTGTGCGCATCCAGGTGTGTGCTTGCAAGGGGGTGGGGGGTGAGGAGTGGGGGGCATGGGGTGGGAGGGGCAGCAAGGAGTCAAGCAGACGGACCTCAAGACCAAGAAGCCCATGAAGAAGAAACCCCTGTTTGTGAAGAGTGGTGCTATGGTGGTCGTGCGCATTCAGGTGTGTGTTGGGGGTGGGATGCGTATTAGGTGGTTCTGGTGAGAGATGCAGCAAGGGGTATGCAAAGCTGACGGATCCCAAGACCAAGAAACCGATGAAGGAAAAACCACTTTTTGTCAAAAGCGGCACCATTGTGGTTGTGCGCATTGAGGTATGTTCATCTAGGAGGGGTTGACGGGCCAGCAGTGGTTGGCATGTGGTGGTTCTGATGCAAGGGAGAGGGCCAGTAGGGGGGCATGTAGTAGCCTGCTGCAGCAGACGGACCTCAAGACCAAGAAGCCCATGGAGAAGAAACCGCTCTTTGTGAAGAGTGGCGCCATCGTGGTTGTGCGCATTAAGGTGTGTCAGCAGGGCGGCGAGGGTGGGTGGGGGCGAGGGGGGGTTTGAGGCATCACGACACCTGAGGGGCATGCATATGCACGCACACATGCACGCACACATGCACACAGTGCATGCACGCACATTTCAACACTTTCATGCACACACTCATGCATGCACGCATGTACCTAAGTTGGTCATTTACGTTTACGTGTACGTCTCTTTACGTTTACGTACAGTTACGTTACGTATGTTTACGCACCTCCCAGATTATGCCCTTATGTACGGTCAGCTAATAACTTTTTCGGCACTGTCCCATTTTACTCCTTATGAGCGTAAACAAGTAATGAAATATCATGTCTTCACTAACACTACTACGATCTAGACCTGAGCAGAATGGTGACGTCAGAAGCATACTAAGAGAAAATTTAACGTAAGTACATGTAGTCCGGAGTGTACATTTACGCGTACTTTACGTGTACGTGGGCCTCCAGGACGTAAATGACCAACTAAGGCATGTACACACACATGCATACACTCATGCATACACTCATGCATACACTCATGCATACACTCATGCATACACTCACTCATGCATACACTCATGCATACACTCATGCATACACTCATGCATACACTCATGCATACACTCATGCACACACTCATGCATACACTCATGCATACACTCATGCATACACTCATGCATACACTCATGCATACACTCATGCACACACTCATGCATACACTCATGCATACACTCGTGCATACACTCATGCACACCTACATGCACTCGCGCACACCTTCTCCCACATAATCTCTTCCTTGTGGCTCCTGTGCTTCATTTTCACCCTTCCCTTCTCCCTCCCATTCCCCCACGCCCATTCCCTCACCCTCATTCCCCCACCCCAATCATCCATCCAACCCGACCCCACCCAAACCCCCACCCACCCAACCCCAGGTGAGCGACCCCATCTGTGTGGAGAAGTTTGCTGACTTCCCTCAGCTCGGCCGCTTCACTCTGCGCGACGAGGGTGAGTCACACCACCATACCAGCGCTTCACACGGCCCCGCCAATGGCCTTGCAGACGCACCGTTGCGGCTTGCCTTTCCTGCGCACGCAATCTTGTATATGTTGCCATTCATGCGTGCTGCCTATTCCCCCACTGCTCTCCCATATCCGGCCCTCACCCCTCTCATGCTCTTCCCTCCCTCGCTTTCTCCATGTTCTCCGCACCTCTCTCTCCCTCCCCAACCCATTTCCCCCCGCCATTGCCCAATGCCAGGCAAGACAGTGGCAATAGGCAAGGTCACTCACCTGTGCTACAGCTCGGCCTGACGTTTTTCCTCCTCACCTCTCCCCATCGCCCTGCCTGCCCCTCTCCCCACCCCCTCCCCATCCGCCTCTCCCCACCACTCCCCCCGCCAGGCAAGACAGTGGCAATAGGCAAGGTCACTCATCTGCACTCTAGCTCCGCCTGACGTTTCTCCTCCCCACCTCTCGCATCACCCCTCCCCCCACCACTGCCCCCCGCCAGGCAAGACGGTGGCAATAGGCAAGGTCACTCACCTGCGCTCCAGCAGCTCTGCCTGACGTTTCCGCCCCTCCTCTCCCTCCACACCTGCTGCCCACCCGCATCCCCCTTGTAAGTCCCACTCTCGCGCAAATTTTTTTTCCTTCTTCTAATTCCCTTTTCCGGGGGGGGGGGGAGTTGGACTTTTTTCCCTGTTCTGTCCATGTCTCACATTATCTTGTTCGCTGCACTTATTCTTCCACAAAGCTACCTTCGTGTCTCTTGTCTACAGGTGTAGCATCCTAGGTCAAGAATTGCGAGTCTGACCATTCTTTAACGTGACCATTCCGTACTGTGACCCCTTAACGTGACCGTTCTCTCTTGTCTCCCCGCACCTCCATTGCTTGCAGGCAACAATTGATCCATTGAAAGCCAATGCCAGTCGTGAGTGAATGGATCACCTTGTCATTCGCTTGGCAGCACCAGGCCAATCACCTTCGCTCTCCGCTGTCTTTCCTGCCTCATGCCCCCTGCCTCATACGTCCTGCCACGGTCTCTGCTTTTTCCTTTTGCATGCATGTTGGTTCCAGCAAATCCATAGCAACACGCACACCCGTGCACTCGTCGTTCCGAAACACCGTTGGAGGGGTTATCATGCACATATGGTACAGAAAACGTGGTAGGAATGTCCATCGCATGCGCATAGGAGCTTTTGCAATGTTCGGTCTGAGCGTATCATGCAGAGCAGATAGTGTGACGACGTTGGTCCTTTCAGCACAATGTTGAAGTAAATGGGGTCTGATCTGATGACGTATAAACTCTCAGACAACCAATACAGGGTTGCAGTTACAATTGTTCCGAAACCGTCCAACTAACCACCTAGATTAGCTCAGTGTAGATAAAATACATTCAGGGCCTAGATGAATAAACTGGAGCCTGCTTTTGGCTGCCATGGAGTGAAAATATCCACCTTACACTCACTTTGCCCCACAACAACTCTTCGGCTTCGCAACCAACACAGCACAGTGCTTTCAGTGAAGATACGCTTCTCAAGAATACACCCTGTTTCGCGCCACACTGACATTCGCCATACTGACAAGCCGGATGTACTGACATGAATGCGTCCAAATTGGTCCCAGAACATACAATATAAGCACATTTACCGTATGCAACCGAACGCAAAGGCACGTTGTTTTCCATGAACCGTTGTTTACCGTTCTCCCGAAGTGCATTCCGGCTACAAGCACCAGCCCGCTGAATCCAAGCACACGTGCGCACTGTAGCCGGGGCTCCCGATTGTCCGAACTTCGAGAAACAGGGTGTACACACCACCTGCCCAACCTTTCAAAGCATCCACGAGCCACCTCGAGCTCATCATTCCACTCCGCTGTATCGTGCTGATCCCCCCCACCCCAGCACTCCGCTCCCCCTTTCCCCTCCCCTTCTGCTTCCGCTTCAATTCAACCCACCCCACCATCCTCGATTCCTTCTCCGCGTCACCCTGCTGTCTGCTCTGCTGCACCCATTCTGTCCCCCTCCCTACAATTCAACCATGGTCAGTGGTCACCTCACTTTCAGATCTAATTATTCTGCTGTGCAGCCAGCTAATACTGGAAATATCAGTAAATTCTATTTATGGCCGGCTGTCAGGACCCTCGTATCTCCGAATCACGGCTCTTCGACGGGAGCCACATAATGTCATGGGAAGAATCATGCGGTGGCGCCGTGATTACGTTATCTGCCGTAGGTTGTCACCACGAATCAATTAGACGAATCTCGTGTATGTCAAACCAACGGCCAGCAGCGGCTTGGCGTCGCACGTGCGGGCATCATGCAATGGTAGAGCCAACATCGCAACTCGCCTACGTGGGCTGTGCTTCGCTGCTGCTGCTGCCGCATTTCTTCAGGCGTTCCGCGACGACGACCATGCAGGGACTGAGGCGAGCGCACGAGTGTTGCTGATGTCAATTACCAGACAGCTCTGATCCGATTTCGTTACTTGTAAACGAATCTTCGCGTCATTCCCATCCGTCGCGGTCAAAGAAACGTTGGAGAAGCTCAGCTCGTCCGAGGCCTCGTCGGCGATTCGACACATCCCTCACCCGCTCGTCCGATGGCGGTGTAGGAGATCTGTCAAACGTGTGAAAGTGCGTTCTGTTTACCTCACCCAGCGGTTCCGTATGTTGTCCTTGATAGCCATTCTGACTCGGAGTTCGGGGATTCGTGCCTGCACCTCGCCGTCTGTCTTGTCCTCCTCGTCATCGTCTTTTTGTAGTTGGGAAACTCGTTCTTTTCCGGAATCCGTTCCTTGAGCGCCACTCTCTGGAATCCGTGACAAAGCTCTACTCGTTGGAATCCGTGCTTCCAGTGCAATGGACGCCACTTCTATTTGCCCCATCCCCGCTATGGACTGGCGCGCTGTTCGTCAAGAGGAGATTATCCGCTTGGCGCACCAGGGCATGGTTGCGCCTGATGTTTCCGCCGACCACCACATCCGCAACGAGAACGAGATGCGCCGCCGCCGCCGCCGCCACCTCCGCCGCATGGCGCGGGAGGCCAACGCGGAGCTTGCGCGCTCCGTGGCGGAGTGGCGCACGCAGAGTTTCCGCCACCCCGACTCGCAGGCCGTGGTGGTGCTGGCGGCGGAGACTGAGCGCAGCCGCGGCTGGTCGGCGGAAGATCACAGGCGCAGCTTCAGCTGCGGCGACCTGGGCGAGTGTGGGCCGCCAGATACCAGCCATGGCGGCTGCAGCGGCCGGATTGTCCCGAACGGCCGCGAAAACAGCTCAGGCGAGACAGGAGAAAAGAGAGATGGCGCTCCGCCGCGGAGGAGCGAACAGGCGTCATGTTCTTCTTCAGGTGCCTCAGGTGTCACGCCAGGTGCCTCAGCAGGTGCCGCAGGTGGCTCAGCAGGTGCTCCTGCACGTGCCTCCTCGTCTGGTGCCTCATGCAGGCCTGTCCATCGGCGTGGGATGAGCGTGAATGCGCTTCCTGAGCTCTGCCCTTTTCCCCCTGTGGACTGGCGCTGGGTACCATCTCCTGACCCTGCTGCCGCCTCACACTGCGCTGCTGCTGCCGCCTCACACTGCGCTGCTGCTGCCGCCTCACCCTATGCTGCTGCTGCCACCCCACACTGCCCTGCTGCTGCCACACGCTACCCTGCTGCCCCTGGTAGCTTCTGCACAGCGCCTCCCAGCGGCGCCACGTCGCCGGCACTCTCTCCCCTCTCGCCCTCCTCTCTCGTTTCGTCCCCCTCACAGCTGCTCTCGAGATATTTCGCCTCGTCCCCAGACAGCAGTCACACACACCGGGCGCAGGTATTTAACCGGGGTACTCCTCTTGGCAAATTCAGTGACACATCGGCAGCCGTCTACCGTTCTTTTACAGCCGACAGCGCAGCTGGCTGTGTGCTCAATAACTGTGCCAATGGCACCAGCAGTGTGACAGCCGTGAAAACACCGACTGATACTAACCAGAGGGCTCTCACTGCTGCCAGGGCTGCAGCAGCAGTGGCATCAGCAGCGGAAGGGTCTGTGCAAACCTTGTCCAGTATCGTCCACACGACTGGGGAAGCTAGGAGGGGAGCTGGAGGACAGGAGGCAGGTATTGTGGAGAAGAAGAAACGGAGCGGGGCGTTGCATGGCGCAAAGGCTCGGTGGTTCCCGCCTGTCTCCGCCGCACTCCACAAATTTTTTTCTCGAGGTCATTGTCACTGATTTTTCCCTGCTCAGGCAGTTCCATTGGTACTGTACCATTACCTCTGACAGAAATGTATGGTTACATTCCTGTGTGGACATTTGTGTCTCAATCCCCCTTTTCCCGAGTCGCGTCGAAACATTTGGGCAATCTCGCGTCACAAAAAAAACATGTATCGCGACACTGCGCGACCAAGCGAAATGTAAATTTCTGCGCATTTGATTGGGTAACATGAATGACTGTATACCCATTTTCTCAACCGATTGGTTGGGGTTAGGTTTCGACGCGCGGGATTGTTTCCCGCGCGAAATTGGCATTGTGGGCTGTCCAGGTGCATTGACATTGCGAACTGCGTGCGAAATGACGGGTCGATTGCAATTCGTCAGCGCATTTCACGCTGACCAATGAAAAATACAGTACTGGTCGCTGAAAAGCGACTCGCATTTGGGACACACTACAGTTTGTGCTGTTTTTGGGTGTCACAAAGCGATTGAGACACAAATGTCCACACAGGAATGCGCCCTCAATTTGAAGTGCATTGCATGGAATTCATGACTTGATAGTATTGCTTTTGTAGGATTTATCTAGCTACGCCAAACCATCTGAAATTGAGACTAGGCCAAAGACTATGGGTAAACCAGCAGCAGTTCCAATACCGTAATCTGACTTTTTATTCTGGGATACTCCCGACCCACCAAAAGATACAGAGTCAAGTCTGGGGATACAGACTACTGCATATCGATTATCAGCTGGGCATTGCACGGCGTCTATAATGTCGCTCATGCAAGCTTAGCAGAAACGGAACACAAAACGAAGCAACACGGTGCTGCTCCAATAAACAGACATGAGTCGCTTCTACCTACCTATCCTAATCTGCCAGTTGAATGGCAGTTCACGTTCACATGAGCAAGCAAAGCTATGGCTCCCCCTAGCACGACACACCGCATTGCTGCAGCTCCTCGCTGGGATTGGGCTGTGTGGTGGTGAAGGGATCAATCTTAACCCACAGCAGCGAGAAGATGGACGCAAGCAGCACCGACCACACAATGACAATCGTGGGAATACTCTGGTTGCGGCCACCCAAACCCTTCATGAAGGGATAGAGATGCATGATGACCCAGAAGGAGAAGAAAAGCTTGCCAAACAGCGGGCCCCAGTTACCATCGCCCGTGTTCATGGCTATTGCCACGCCGCAGACAATCCCGAGGAAGTTGATGATGAGAAGGAAGAGCGGCGGGATGAGCAGCGACGTCCACTTGAACAAATACAGCTCTGCAAACTCCCCGTCTTCTGCCTGCTTCGCCGTGACCGTGAAATTCGTGTCAATACCAGCGAGCACCTTCAGCAGGCCTTGGAACACGGCGAAGAGATGCGCCGACACGCCTCCAATCACCCAGAACTGCTCATTGCGCCACCAGTCCGTCATTCCCACGCCGCTCCAGCGCATCTCCAGCAGACCCGTGGCGAAAATCGTCATAAAGAGTGCAATGAAGTAGAGCGTAGAGACCGTGTCCAGCGTGGGGATAATGAACTTGTTTGTGAACAGGCAGATGGCGGGAATAGTGCAGTAGATGAGCAGCGGGAAGGACGTGAAGGGGTAGACCACAGTGTTGGTATACGACAGCCGCTGCAGCACCTTAAGCTTGTTGCCCTTCCAGCCGTACCAGATGGGGCAATGGCGTGAGAGGAAAATTTCCACTGAGCCCAGAGCCCAACGCAGCACCTGCTGCAGACGGTCTGACAGATTGATGGGCGCGCCTCCCTTGAAGGTGGGGCGCTTGGGCTTGCAGTAGATGGAGCGCCATCCGCGGCAGTGCATCTTAAAGCCCGTTAGAATATCCTCCGTCACTGACCCGTAGATCCATCCAAGCTGCAGCGAGGGGAGAGCAAGGGTCATGGGCCAGCGAGGAGGGAAGATGAGAGGAGGAAGGGACGGAAGGGTGAGGCGGAGAGCAACAAGGTGCGCGGGGAAGAACGAGCAAAGTGACAAGACTAAACCAGGAGAGGATGGAGAGGTGGGAGCATATCACGCAGCAGCAGAGAGAGCAGCACGCACCTCCTTGCCCCACTCGGTCTTCTCCTCGTAGCCGCACGAGATGACGTGAATGGCCTCCTTGAGCGTGGACCCGGGGCTGGCGGACGCCACTCCCCCGCCCTCCTCGTGGAACGTGGAGAGCACAAACACAGGCGACTGCCCGAACTTCTTCTCAAACTTCTTGAGCGCCACCAGACTGTCGCCCTCGCCCACTGCGCGCCGTGCAGGGGGGTGGGGAGTAATGGAAGAATGAGGTTGCAGCGAGGGGAGGGAAGGGAGGGAAGGGTGTGAGGCAATGGCGAGGGGAGGGGCGGAGGAGAGACAGGGATGGAATGGGCACAGCAGCTCAGCATCCAGCTCATCATCCAAGTCAGCGTACCTTCCTCGCCATCGTAGAGCGGCAGCGTCCCCTCGTCCTCGTCGCCCTTGCGGCTCTTGCGCCCGCCCTTCTCCCCGCGGCCGCCGCCGCCGCAGCACGAGAAGCAGGAGCAGAGCACGCCGCACTTGTTGCGCTTGTTCTTGGGCTTGGGCGGATCGTACCCGTACAGCGCGCGCCGGCGGAAGCAGCACCCGGTACCCACGTAGCACGGCCCTTGCACGCCGTCCAGCCCGGGCAGATTGATCTGCGCGGGGGGGGGGAAGGGGGTTGGGAGGGGGGAAGAGACGGGGGAGAGGGCAAGGGTTTGGCAGAGAGGGGGGGGGATGTGGGGGGGAAGCAATGGGAGAAAAAAAGGTTGGGTGCGACAGAAAAGGCAGGAAGTGGGGCCTGATTGGGCAGAGGTGGGCGCAGAGTTAATTGAGGGTGGGAGCGACAAGGCGAGCGCGTGACTCACGTCGAAGAAGACGGTGTTGTTGTTAGCGTATCGATCGTTGGGGTCAATGCCGTCGAATCGCTGCGGGAACTGCACGTAGCAGCACTTCTTCCCCACGTTCGGGTCCATCATGAAGCACATGGCCTCGCGGAGAGCCTTGCTGTCCGCGATGTAATGATCGCAATCCAGATTCAGCATGTACGGCGCGTTCGTCAGCACCGCTGACACGCGGATCTGCACGCGTGAGGGGGGTGGGTGGGAGAGGAGGGGAAGATGAGAGAACGGCAGGAGTAGAGCAGAGCAGAGCAGTGGACGGCAACAGATTCTAGCGCAAGCAAGCTGTGGGGCAATGTCTCACCAGTGAGTTCATAGCACCGGCCTTCTTGTGGTGGTTGTATCCGGGGCGCTTCTCACGGCTGACGTACACGAGGCGCGGCAGCATGTTGCCCTCCACGTCCGTGCCGCCGCTGGGGCCGAGGAACACCTGGATCATGCCGGGGTGGTCGCGCGACTTGTTGCCGGGCCACGGCGTGCCGTCCTGCATGGTCCAGCCCTCGTCGGGCACCTTCTGCGACTTGGCCACCAGCATGTTGATCCGGATCTTGAACTCCTCGTACTCGCGCTGCACGCACGCAACGCAGAATGAGACGGGCGCACACGGGTACGGGGAGATGTGTGTGGGCGGGCGGCGGAAGGGGAAAAGTCAACTACAGAGCGTTCTGCGCGCACTCTTCCCGTCCTGTCCCCACCCCCTTTGCCCTTCTCTTCCAAACCCAGCCCTCCCTATTGCCCTTCTCGCTCCTCGTCAACCGCTCCTCGCTCCTTGCGTACCTTGATGGCGCGGCGGTCCTTGACGAATTGCGGGTCGACCTTGTCCTTCAGATAATCCACCTTCTGCGTGAAGTACATCTCGGGGCACCGCGGCTCGATCTTGTAACGCTTCGCGAACGGCACCCAGCGCCTCGCGAATTCGCTGCACTCGCTCATCGAGTCGAACGTCAGCATGGCGCCACCATCGTCGTGCACGTAGCACGAGACCTTCTCCGTCGGGTAATCAACGGACAGGATCGAAAGCAGCGTGTTCGCCGTCGTGATCGGCGGCTCCTTGGCCGGATCCACCGTCGACACGAACAGATCGACGGCCGCGAGCTGCGACGGCTCGCCGCGCCGCTCGAAGCGAAGCGCGAGGCGATCGAGGTACGTCTCTCTCTTAATGGGCATCCACTTGGGGAACTGATCGAGAATCCAGGAGAAGGCGAACCAGACCTCGCAGATAACGGACATGAGCCACAGCCACCACGCGCCTTCCACGGGGTTCAGGCACCGCCAGCGCAGGAAGAACGCGAGCACGAACAGCCGAATGATGATAATCAGCCGGTACGGCGAGATCAGCGACGACGGGTAGTGCACCTTCCGCGAAAGCGGCTGGCGCGACTCGTCCATGTTGGGCAGGTCGGCCGTGTCCATGGGGTCCGGGCCGGGGACGGGCGGCGCGGGCGGCGCGCCGTTCATGCCCATGCCTCCCATGGGCCCGCCGCGGCCCTGCTGCTGCTTCCACGCCTCGAGGCGGTCCTTCCACACCACGCTGCCGTACCCGTAGTCGCCCAGGTCCTTGCTCGGATCCAGCGCGCGCACGTCCACTGGGGGGGGAAGGCGGGGGGAAGGGGGAAGGGGACGGGGATCGGGTGGTGAGATTGCGGGAACGCGGGGAGGGGGAACGTGCGCACGGGGGGTAAGAGGAGATGACGACGACGATGATGGGAGTGGCGGAGACAAGGGATTCGACAAGGGAGTCGACGAACGAGCTCCATGCGTGCAGAAGAAGGGTAGCGATTGGTGCGAATAGGTGGGGAAGTTGAGGCTTACTGGACATGTCGCCAGCGTTGCTCTGCGAGTAGTTGTACGCCTGGTTGGGGAGCGCGGAGGCGGGGACCATGGCGCCCGCGTTGTTGTAATCTGACGACATGCTCATGTCGGGATCCACCTGCCCTGACGTCAGCATGGGGTAGTGCGACCCGACGTGATACGAGTCGTACGCGTTAGAACCATCCGGGTGCATCTGCTGCTGGCCCTGGTGCTGAGGATCCCCGTGCTGCTGCGACATGCCGCGTCTTCCGTCATCCGGACCGCTGCTGTTCTCCGAGATGCCGAATTCCTGCTCCACGTCATCCGT